GAGGAGATTAAGAAAAGTTTTATCAGAACACTTAATTTATAGATTACTAGGTTTGATGCTATTACGTTTCCTTTCTCTACTTTCCTATTCTTTGTAAACAGAAAATCATAGATCTAAGGGACGGAAAAAAGGATATACTATAGAGGAGGAAATACAGTTAATAATCATACCCATGAACATAAATGGAATTAACTCATCCATAAAATGAAAGGGTATATCAGAAAGGATTGGAAAGCAACACTTTGTTGTTGTCCACAAGAAATACACATTAAAATAAAACAACAACTCACAAATAGAGAATTAAAATGAGGGAATCAGGAGGAAGCTAGGTGGTGCAGTGGATAGAGCACTAACCCTGGATTCAGGAGGACTTGAGTTCAAATCTGGCCTCAGACACATAACACTTAGTAGCTGTGTGACCTAGGCAAGTTACTTAACACTGTTGCCTAGACCAAAATAAAATAAAATAAAATGAGGGAATTAGAAGAGTTTATTATGTCTCTGGTGAATCTTTTAAAGCAGGAGTAGAAATCATCATCTCAGATAAGGCATCAGCAAAAAAAAAACCGCATAGTTAGAAGAGATAAGTGGGCAGTTGGGTGGCTCAGTGGATGGAGTACTTGGGCCTGAAATCAGGAAGACTCACCTTCCTGAGTTCAAATCTGACCTCGGATACTTACCAGCTGTGTGACCCTAGGCATGTCATTTAACCTTGTTTGCCTCAGTTTCCTCATCTGAAAAATGAGTTGGAAAAGGAAATGGCAAGCCGCAGTAGCATCTTTGCTGAGAAAATCCCAAATGGGTTTATGAAGAGGACACAAAATGAGTAAACAACAACAACAACAACAAAAGAAATTAGTAGATATGCTTATTTAGTCCCAACTGCAATATTCCAGGAAAGAATAATATCAGTGTCTGAGGCATGGGGCTATTTGTGTGCCTGTCCAGGATTTGGTTTGGGATGCAATGTAGTCTGGTAGCCTCACCAGAGCTCACTGAGAAATAGATAGAAAAGAAAGAAGAGAGATTGATCAAGACTAGATTTGTAACTGTAGGCAGAAAGAGCACTAGCATAAAACAGAAAAGGTTTCAAAGCAAAGCATGAAAGTAGCAGTGGAATTTTCCCCCACTGTCTGAACAAGCAAGATGTAGAAGACATTTGCTTTTAGCCCTCCTTCTCTACCCACCCTCTGCAAACAGAAATTTTTCCTTAGCTTTTTAGCTCTGTAATATAGATCTTTTTCAGTGCACTGTTATTTTGTCGATCTTGATTCATTTATGTAAACACTTTGTTCTTCATTGTTTTTCTGTGTGTGCCCCTAAGGACACTTTGAGACGGTTTTATATTTTATATTTTACAGTATATAATTTAGGAATATATTTCTGGTTTTGTGGTCAATGAGACCCCCTGGGAGCATATTGTATAAGCCATTTTTATCCTAAATGTTTCATAGTTGAACTACTAATGGGAGAATTGAAATGAGCCTAAGGTCTGTCCCTCACTACAAAGTTGTCTTGAATTTCTGTTGGTGTTAGCCACCTGGTATTATTTCCTGCCTGGATATCTAGTGGGCCCTGTTGATATTAGTCTGTTCTCTCCAGGCTGTAGAGAGAGATGGGAAGGGAGTAAGAGTAATGGAATGGACTAGAGAAGAAAGTTGTACCCCAACTGGAACAGGAGGCAAAGACAGCCAGTCAAGAGGTTTTGTTTGAATGAAATTCATTCATCTAGAAAAAGGAAAAAAATGGTTGACTAGAAAAAGAAATTGTCTTAAATAGATGTCCACCAAGTTATGCAAAGTGAAGTAATTAGAGAAACAATATACACAATTAAGCAACTACAGGGCCAAAACTGAATGTTGCAAAATTATGAAGAACAAGTTTAGGAAATAAATATATTCTCCTCCCCCACCTCTTCCCTCCCTTGCTAAGGTTGGAAATCCTCAAGCTTCAGACATTACAGATAGAGTTTCCTCCCCACCTCCCACCCCAACTCCCTGGCAATGTATTGTTTGATTTTCCTAATATTTTCTTTTTTCTACTTTTCCTTTTTTATTTTTCCCTTAAAATTATTTGTTGTAAGGGGTGGCATATTGGAAGAGGGAACAGAGAAGTCAATGAGGAAATCTAGGAGATTTTGATAAAATTCTATTTTAAAAAGAAAATGCAATTATTAAATTCATCAAAGTATATTTGAAGAAATCATTGAAACTCCAATGCAGAATAAATAACATAATCCTAAAAATTTGTTATTCAAAGAACAAATTACAGAAAAATAGGTAATTTCATCAACTAAAATAACAACAATGAAAACATACCAAAACTTCAGAGATATAGCCAAAAAATCATTCTTGGAAAATTAATATCTCTAAAAACTTTCTGCAACAAAATGGAGAAATAGCTGAACAATAAACTGGATATGTAGTAGGAAAAAAATCAACTAGAAAAGCAAAAAAAATCAATTAAACATCAATGCAAAAAGACTGAATATTAAAAATAAGAAATAAAATTGAAAATAAAAAACAGAGTTGACAAATGAAACTAGAAACTAGTTTTAGAAAAAAACCAATAAATTGGAAAAAATTATTATTTTGATAAAAAAATGAGAAAGCCAAGTTGCCAAAATTAAAGATATTCACAACAAATGAAAAGTAAATAACAGAAATATTAGGAACTATTTGGATTAGTTATATTCTCCAAAATTTTGATGATATAAATTAAATAGATGAATAATTCAATAATAAAGTACCCAGCTCAAAGATATGAGATATAAAAATTTAATAACTCAATGAATCAAATGTGGTCCCAATTCCTGAACCAGAGAGCAAGAGAATATAGACAAAGCACATCCTCTGAAAATATTCTTAATAAATTCATACACAAAAATATATACCTAACAAACTCAGAAGCAAAAGTATTAGCAAAGATGCTGTAACAACATATTAAAATGTTATACACCATAGCATAATTGATTATTTCAGGAATTCAGGACCACATTAATAACAAAAGTTATAAATTACATGATTATATCCATAGACATGATCCATATAAAATTCATAGGTATAAGAAAAACTTTTAATAAAATACAACACTGATTTCAAAAAAAATGAACTTTTAAAATCATAGGAATAAATTAGCCTTGCCTTAATTTGGCAAACATTTATCTAAAAATAAAAGATAGCATTATCTGTAATGGAGGAAAAAAAATTTCATTCAAAATTACCATGGAAAGTATGAAATATCTGGGAGACTACCCTACACAAAAGAATCATGTGAATATAACTGTAAAATATCCTTTAAAGAAATATGGAGTAAAACAATATACCAGGTATGAATTGTGCATGACTGAGCCATGCTAATAAATTAAAAATGATAACATTACATAAATTAATTTCCAGATTTAGTATCTTACCAATCAAAATATTAAATGATTACTTTATAGAACTAGAAAGAATAATAAAATTGATCTAAATTTATAAAACATGAAGAATCTTCAAGAGAAATAATGGAAAAATAGTAGAAATGGATAGGACCTAGTAAATACAGTTCCTAAACCAAACTATAGAACTGTAGTTATCAGCACTATTTATTACTCATTAAACAATAGAATAGTTGATTGAAAAATGCTTAGGAAGCAAAATCAGTCTCAGAGAAATTAGATTAAACTAACTTGCCACTTCATATACCACAATAAACTCCAAGTCAATACATTTTCTAAAACTACAAGGTCGTATTTCAACCAAAATAAAAGGGGGGAAAAATAAGAAGATATCCATTCACAACTATAGCTAGTTGTAATAGAGGGGAATTTATAGTCATAAATTATAAAATGGACAATTTAGATTGTAGAAAATGTAAAAGACTACTGCACATAATCAGTGGCATTAGAATTAGAAGGGAAACACTGAACTGGAGGGGAAAATTCCTTTTTTGTATGTGCACACTCTGGCCTACTGACAGAGGCCTCTTCTATTTTCTCTCTTTGATGCTGTCTCTTGGGGATTGCATGAGTTTCTATGGGTTCAGCTGTCATCCTTATATGAACTTTTCCAGAATTTACAGATCCAACAATGTTCATCTTTCTCCTAATGTCCAATTCCACATTGTCAACGGCTTACTTTTCCGTTGTCATATCCTATTCATCATGTCCAAAGCAGAACCCTAACTTTTGTCCTACTTTACCTATTTCTATAGAAAGTAATACTATTTTTCTAATCAGCTTGGAGTTATCTTCAGTTCTTCATTCTCACTCACTTAATCCCCGTGTCCAAGATCTGGACATGCCATCCTGGTTAAGAGTCTTTAGTAACTCCCTAGTGTTCCCAGGATAAAATAAAACTCTTCTGATTGGTATTTAAAGCTCTTTATAATCAGACTCCATCTTATCTTTCTGGAATGATTGTATATTACTCTCCTTCATACACTTTTCCTAACAAACAAACTGTCTTTTTTCTATTTCTCATTCACAATTGTTTATCTTCCATTCCTTTGCCTTAGCTGAGGCTGTCTTATATTCCTGGAATGCTACATAACATGAGAATACTTTTCCAATCCAGTTGTTACTTCTCCTTCACCTCCACTGAAATTACTGCAAATTGATTTTGCATACATTCTGCATTTGCATATCTGTGTGTTGTTTTCAGGCAGCAAAATATATACTCCTTGAGAGTAGGAATTCTTTTGTTTTATCTTTATATCATTGGTGCATAACCCAGTGCCTGGCACATAAAAAGTACTTAATAAGTGCTTACTGAATTAAAATGAATTAAATAAAAACTCAAAAAAACACCTCAAGGAATAGGCAGGAAAGTTTTAGAATGTATTACTATATGGTCTTTTAAAAAGCTGTATAAGATCTTGAGCAAGAGAATATTATTTGAAAATCTATATCGTTATCAAAGACATCGGGAGGTCCAAAGAGAAGAAACCAGCCCAGGAGTTGATAGAATCTTTGAGATCTGAACAACATGGAGAAAATGCTCACTACTAAAGTATACTGTTCACATCTTAAACAAAAATAATCTTTTTACCAATCCTTTGAAGGCTCCTTTCATATCCTTGTTTCTCAAGGTATAGATAAGGGGGTTTAACATAGGTGTAATGATACCATAAAAGAGGGAAACTATCTTCCCCCAAATCTCAGAAGTGGATGAAGGTGGCTGCAAATACATATAAATAGCTGCACCATAAAATAATGACACCACTACAAGGTGGGATCCACATGTCCCAAATGCCTTCCTCCTCCCTTCAGCTGACCGCATCCTCAATACTGCTTGGGCAATGAAGCCATAGGAGATAAGGATCAGTGACAGGGGGATAAGAAGGAAAATGACACAGATAAAGAAGAGTTCTGCCTCATTGGCTGTTATGTCAACACATGACAACTTGAGAAGAGCAGGTACCTCACAAAAGAAGTGGTCCACCTTGTAGTGGCCACATCGTGGCATGAGAAGAGTCCAAGTTGACTGCAGCACAGAGTTGCTGAAACCACTGAGCCAGCATGCAGCTGCCATCTTGAGACATAGCCGCTGGTGCATGATCACTTGATAATGGAGAGGCCGACAAATAGCCACAAATCGGTCAAAGGACATGATAGCCAGCAAAATACACTCAGTTGAACCCAAGGCTAAAAAGATGATGAGCTGTGCAACACAACCACCATAGCTAATTGTCTTCACTCTACTACAAATATTTCTCAGCATTTGGGGAACTGTGCTGGTGGTATAGCAAAGATCTAAGAGTGATAGATTGGTGAGAAAGAAATACATGGGTGTGTGGAGTTTGGGGTCTAAGTAGGACACCAGGATGATGGCCACATTGCCAAAGATGCTCAATGTATAGGAGATCAGCAAGATTCCAAAGAGGGGCAGCTCCAACCAAGGCCAGTTTGAGAAACCCAGTAGAATGAATTCCTTTGGGAAAGTTTCATTTACCCAATCCGTCATGGAAAACTCATTTCTTAGCCACCTGTAAAATAAAACTAGGCAGTTAGTAGATGTCATTGTTGTGTGGGGAACTGCATTGAATTAGATTGAAATGCTAAGTGAAAAATCTCACAGTTAATTATTTTTTCTGATTAAATAAAAAAAAACTTTTCTCTAAGTCAAAGTGACCTATTTAGTAAATTAAAGAAATAAGGAGAAGCAAAATCTCTGACCTTATTAAAGAACAGAAATGCAGGAACTTAGAAAATTAAGATACATAATCACTTAGAAATGACTTTTTCTTCCAAATGTAGTGCTAAAACTGGTGATGAGGAATTCTCCAGCTTCAGATGCAGGTGTGACACTCAATGATACTTGCAGCACAAAACAAATTCTTGCCCTCAAGAGATCAAGTGTGGTAAATGTGTGGAATTCTGTGCATCTCAAACCTTTTGTGGTTCTTAGCTTTATAATCTTCTGCCTGATTTTCAGTAGCATCAAACTTATCAAACTCTGTTGATCCTGACACCAATTTGATTCTTCTGATCTGTACCTTACTTTAATCCTCTGATTCCTCGAATCAACTTGTTTAAGCTCTAGCAACCAATACAAACATCCAAATGCCTCTGACCCTCCGTGAATGGAAAATTTCCAATTAGGGATTTTTCCAAACTCTGATTTTAATCAGTTTAAGCATATGCTGTAGAAGACACTCATGCCACCCAAGTCAGATCCCTTTCCCAGATCAGCCCCTGAGCAAGCCCAGAGGAAATATTATAGATATAACCTCAGAGATCATTTAAACCCGCTCTCTCAGCACAGCTATACATTGGGCAGGCTCATAAGGATTTTGATCCAGGATGCTGAAATTTAAAGGGTACTACTAATAATAGTTCTCGTTCAGTGTCTTCATATAGAAACCACTGTGCCAAGCTTAGCAAACAGTTAGAAAGAATAATTAGTTAAAAAAGGAAAATACTAAATAGACAACTTCTACCTCCTTACCATCAGCCATGTTTACATTTTCAGCCTAGGCGAATTTGTCTTTGACCCAGCTCCATCCTGATATTTTACCAGCGATGGCCTCAGGGTATACCAGTGGTTCTGTTTTTCTCTCAAAGGTCTTAGCATACATTACGTCTTTCCAAAGAGCCTTGTATCTCAGTGTCCAAAAGTTGTCGCTTTAGTCTTTCCTCATCCAAAACTGAGTTAATATTTAAAAGTTGAATTGAGGACATATTTTAATACTGCTGGTATCAGGGGAACATTTAAGGGTTCATGTCTCAAGTGCTACAATTGTTAGATACAGTTTCATCTCTCATATTACAGGCAAAGAACCTGAGAGCTAGTTTTGTTGTTGTTTTTGTTGTTGATGATAATGTCGTTGTCGTTTGTGTTTGCCTCCCGGTCTCCCTACAATATTTTGACACTGCTCTCCAGGGTTTTGTTGTTGTCTAAAAATAAAAGCTTAGTAGATGAACATGTTTTCTTCTGGTAAAGGACTTTTAATTAGAACTCAGATTCCACAGAGTCCTCACTGTTACCAAATTCATCAAATTATCTGTTTCATAAGGTTAAGACATCACTGTAAAATTTATAGAACAATATGAAGACTTTATTATGATGATCATTATTATTCAATATCTGAAATCAGAGCTAAGAAGAAAATACCTTTAATGACACAAGCATCACTGTTCCTTAAAATATTAACACATCAAATGAAGACACACAATAATCAGTAAGATCTAGCAACTCCACAGAAAGTAGGTAGATATCCTACAGTTACTTTATCTCTTTACAATGTTCATCTAATTTTACTCCTTTGCTCAACATATGATATAATTGAAGTCCAGAGAAGGGCATCCCTTTTATTTTCTGCCTCTATCTTCTTTATCCAATTAACCTTATTCACTTACTCTTCTCCCATTAGAGCTCATCTCAGCTACCACTACTTAGAGTAAGTCCTTCACAATAAAAATGAGAGAAAATAAGGGAATAATTCTACTTCTCAAAAAAGAAAACTGCACAAGTAAGATTTCAAGATGTCTATTGTTCCATGTCTAAGTTAGAGGACTTCAACATATATACTGATTCTTCCTCAACAACCCTAACTTTCCAGTTCCCAATCTACTCAATTCCCATGGCAATACTCTCCCATTCCACCTCTGCTATAAACAGAGATGTTTATACCTTGACATTTGGTACACAAGTTAAACTACTTCATTCAACATGAACTCTAAAATTCCTTTATACGATCGGAATATTTCCTTCCTTACCTGTCCTTCTGACCTTTGACCTTAATTTTTGTTCTCTCCTTGATTTACAATGCCTCCAACCTTCATTTCTTTTCCAGCCTGTAGCTACTATATTAGCTATACTCTCTGCATTCCATTTCTAGACCCCTTTCGTGAATCAATTCAATCTATATATTCCTATACACTCAAATCCTTTGTCCCTATTCCTATTATTAAACTCAAATCTTGGATTACTCCAACCCCTACATCCTTTACTCCTTTTTACATAAGACTAATGGAGCCAGAAAAAAAATTAAAAGGTTGATTAGCTACATTACAAAATTACACCACCTAATTTCAACTGGGTCCTCACTTCAGCAAAGCAATAATTCTACATCTCCCTAACTTATTTGCTATCCCACAAACCATAGTAGCTATTCCAAATCTTTTCTTCCCTCCTTAAGCCTCCTACTATATCTCCTTCCTTTAGTCTCAGCTATAGTCTTAACTTCATACTTCACCAAAAAAAAATTGAAGCCATTTACCATGATCTCCCTCTTCTTCCCTCCTCCACACATCACTCAGGCGTCTCCCTTTAAATTTCCCTTTTACTTCTTCTCTCATTTATAGAGGTAGTTCTTCTCCATGTCAAACAAAATAAACTCCTCTCCATACTTTTCTGATGTCATTTCCTCCCAATTCCTCGAGCAGATTGTTCCCATTATTATCCTTACTCTCTCGAATTTTCAATATCTTCCAATCTACAAGCATTTCCCTGCCAGCTATAAATACACATATATCTCCCCATCCCTAAAAAATACATATTTGATCTAATCTTTGTCAATAGCTATTATCCTATATATCTCCTCCCCTTATTGGTTAAACTACTTGAGAAAGTTGTATAATTAGGCTCATTAATTTATTCTCCTCTCATTTTTTCTGAATTCTCTGCAGCCAGACTTCTGACCTCACTAGTCAACCAAAACCACTCCTCCAAAATCGCTAATGATTTTTTAATTTCCATACCTAATGACTTTTCCTCAATCATCATTAATAATAATGATAATAATAATAATAATAATAACAGATTTATATAGTGCTTTAAGATTTGCAAAGCATTTTCCATGTGGATCTAACCTCCTTGGCCTCTTATCCATATGTGAACTTCTCCTCCTAGATATCACCTCATTTCTAGGTTTTCTTCTCTTCTGACTGATGTCCATCTTTTGTTGTTGTTCTGTCATTTATATTCATGTCCTACTGTTCTTGACCCCATTTGGGGTTTCCTTGGCAGGGATACTAAAGTGCTTTCTCTATATTATTTTCCTTACTGATATCATCAGCTCTAATTGGCTTACTTATTATCACTATGCAGATGATTCTAAGATTAAATATCTAGCCCCAATCTTTCTCCTGAGCTGCAGCCTCTTATCACTACCTACCATTTGGCCATCTCAAATGGGATGTGCCAATTAGCATCTCAAACATGTCCAGAATAAATTTCTTTATCTTTCCCCTCAAACCTCCACTCTTCCCAACTGTCTTTTTACTTAGAAGGGCACCACTATCCTCCCAGTCACTCAGGATCACAAACTTGTTATCATCCTTAACTTCTCATTGTCACTTATTTCATATATCCAATGTTATCAAATCTTATTATTTTTACCTTCAGAAAATATCATGTCTATCCCCTTTTCTCCACTGACATAGTCCTTACCCTATGAAGGCCATTTTCAACTCATAGAAGAACTATTTCAATATTTCACTATTTCAATAGCCTTTGAGTTCTAATTCATTTAGCCTCAAGTCTCTCCCTACTCCAACCCAATCTCCATATAGCTGCCAAAGTGATTTTCTTAAAGCAGAGGTCTGAATATGTCACTATTCCCCCTACATTCAATAAACTCCCTCCATTGGCTCACCATTACCTCCAGGATGAAATATTAAATTCACTGTTTGGCATGTAGTACCCTTCACAGTTTGCCCCCTTCCTGGCTTTCCAGTCTTTTTGCCTTTTATTGAACTTTAAGTATTCTGTGATCCATCTACTTTGGCCTCCTCGATATTCCTCAAATACAACATTTCATCTCCCAAAAGTATACATTTATAATGTCTCTTCCCCATGACTGGAGAGCTTTTTCTCATCACTCCTGACTTTTAGATTCCCCGGATTCCTTCAAGAATCAACTCAAACCCCACCTGCTGCAAGAATCCCCCTGAACTGTGAGAAATTTTTCATTTGGACTCCTACTCATTTCCAATCAGTATTAATCAGTTCAGTGTCATTCCATAAGGGGATAATGATTATTAGCAATTATTAGTGATGTACCCAACTAATAATAGACAGTTAGTTATTTATCTAACAATAATACAAAAATAAATATGTACTAATATATATTTTGTATGAATCATACAGGGGTAATTAGATAAGATAGGTTCTTATACTAGGCCTTTATACTAGTCCTAAACTTTAAACCAACATTCACTACTTGTTTGAGATGCTAATTGGCACATCCCATTTGAGATGGCCAAATGGTAGGTAGTGATAAGGGGCTGCAGCTCAGGAGAAAGATTAGGGCTAGATATTTAATCTTGAATCTTGAATCATGAAGCTCACTTGCACAACCACAAGAATGTTGACAAGATATCTCCATTCTATTTTGCTCAAATTCCACGTCCAAGTCTAGTGTGTGTGGAAAGTCCCCCAATTTGTTTTTATACTTCCAGACCACTCTCTATTGTCTAATATGAGCAGGTGACTTTCTTATGACCACTTAGTCACTGGAG